GGAGGCCCACCCGAGGCGACATGGGAAAAGGTAGTGGTGCTTTTTTAAGGCATAGGAGCGCGCGAGTATGCTGAAGCGTGTCGTGTCAGCATGGGCTTGATCCACAACTTTTGCCACGGTATGGAGAACAAATGAGAAAGAAGAAGTAGATCGAGATCGAGATTGAGATCGTCTGGCCAACCGGCAAAAAACACTTTTTGTGGGGGGAGGGAGGAACTAGTGTGTAGCAATAGGTATCTGGCGCCGGTTCCAAGGTGAAGAGGTCCGCCCCTTCCCTGCTTCCTGCTCAGTCAATCCCCTGGAGGTCAGGGTACTCAATGCTGGCAGGAATCAAATTCAATCTGTATATGGGACGCTGGGCCCGTTTCCCAGCAGGTGATGCTCCCCACCAATAGATGGAGCCTCTCCCCAGGTGCTAGTGGTTTCTGCTCTTATCAGCACCACTAACACTGGTGGGGGCGTGTTTCAAAAAAAAAAAAATGCTGACAATCTAAAAAAGTGGTCCCATTGGACGCGGAAGTCCTTCCGCTTTCCCGAGAACATAAGAAAGGGCTTCCACCCGTTGAGGCCGACGGTCAGTTAATCCCCTCGTTAGAGAGCAATCAATGCTGCTTGTCACCTATAATCCACAACATGCTCCAATTTTGTAAGCGGGACGCTGGAGCTCGTTTCCAGCCGGTGCAGCTCCCCACCAATAGATTGGAGCCATCCATCAAAAAAAAGACGGGCTCCCCGCTAGGCTACCAGAGTGGCCCGGGAATATATATAGTTTGTTATTTTTATTTTTATTTTAATTTGGTAAAGAATTTTGATGTGACCCTGAGGCAAAAGTTGTTCAGTTTATGTTTCTGGCATTTCTGCATAACAGTGATAGCACAGTTTTGTTTTTTTTTGTTTTGTTTTTTTTTTTTGTTTTGTTTTTTTTGCTAGGACCTTCCTTGGTCCTTGCATGGCCGGGCCACCAGGGAAAATACGGTGACCCGGACGGACCGGCTGGTAGGCTAGATCCCTGTTAATGTCGTCCACAGGGCATCCCACCACCTCCCAATTCAACTCGGAGTTGGCTTCAGTCAGCATAGCAGGCCGTGCTCCGCACTTGCAATTCTTTATTTTTTGTGAGGAGATCCCGCAGAACTGAACAGGTAATAAACGAGCTCAACCAAAAAAAAAAACAAAAAAAAAACGAGCTCAAAGCGGTGAAAGCATAAGTTACAAGCTCAAGATAACGCCGTGATAAGCACGAACCTATTCAATAAACAAACAAACAAACAAACAAACAAACAGAAAAACAAAAAAGACAAAAACACAAAAAAAAGACAAAGAAACTAACAAACAAATTATTCTGAAGTCAAACGTGGTCAGCCACAAAGAAGGGGAGCAAAGGATTCAAATTTGGTTCCAAATGATCGTTTTGCAGATGCGACTGTGAAAGGAATCGAACGATTGGAGGCCATCAAGATTCTTTTT